CAGTGTCCCCACCTCCATCACCGGACACCGATCAATAAAGTGCCCTGGGTCCCCGCAACGCCAACAGGCCGGCCCAGACCTCCCCGCCGCCCTGGTGGGAGGAAGCGGATCAAGCAATTGGCCTGGAGAGAGCAGAGGAACGTTAACCCCCGAGGCGCTCGAGCTGGCCGGCGCCGGACCGCCCCTCCACCGGGGCTGCGCTCGCGGTGGGAGATTCCCCCGGGACCTAGGGAGAGGGACAGGTTTAGAGGTAGGAGAGAGGGGGAGAGAGAGAGAGACAGAGGGCAGGGTTCCGCCCCCCTGGCACGCCACCATCTGGTCCTCCGCCAGTTGAATGGCCAGGTCCAGCGACGCCGGCCGGTGGCACTGGACCCACTGCGCGGTGTTCGTCGGTAACCGCGCGACGAACTGCTCCAGCACCACGCGGTCGATGATCTGGTCGACGTCGCTTCCCCCGGCCAACAGCCATTTGCGGCACGCGTCCCGGAGCTGCTGAGCCATCACAAAGGGCCGGCCATTTTCCCCCAGCTCCAGTGATCTGAAACGCTGACGGTATTGTTCGGGATTCAGGCCGACCCGCTGGAGGATGGCTCGTTTGAGGTCGTCGTAGACCAGGAGGTTCTGAACTGGCAACTGTTGTGCAGCCATTTGTGCCTCCACCGAAAGCAGCGGAATGAGGCGCACCGGCCAGTTCGTCCGGGGCCACCCACATGCCTCCGCAGTCCTCTCAAAGAGGTCGACAAAGGCCTCTGGATCATCCTGCGGGCCTAACTTGCTCAAAGGCATGTGGGCTGGCAGTCCGCACCAGCGTCTATCACCCACAAACAGACGGACAGGTGGAACGATTTAATCGCAATTTGAAAACCATGATTCGAAAGTTCGTTCACGAAGACGCCAAAAATTGGGATAAATGGCTGGAACCCCTTTTGTTCACTGTGCGCGAGGTCCCGCAAGCCTCCACGGGGTTTTCCCCCTTTGAGCTCCTTTACGGTCGCCAGTCCCGTGGGGTTTTGGACGTTCTGAGAGAGGCTTGGGAGGAGGGAACTTCGGATAGCAAAAACGAAATTCAGCATGTGCTGGACCTGAGAACAAAATTCCACACTTTGGGGCAGCTCTCTATGGAGAATTTGTTACAGGCCCAGGCCAAGCAGAGCCGGCTGTATAATCGGGGAACCAGATTACGTGATTTTGCATGGGGAGATAAAGTGCTTGTATTGCTCCCAACTTCTAGCTCTAAATTACTCGCCAAGTGGCAAGGACCCTTTGAGGTCACACGGCGGGTGGGCGATCTTAATTATGAGGTAATTCGATCGGACAGGAGTGGGGCACGTCAAAT